TTGTAGTGTCTTATCTTGATTATGTATGGGGAACATCCTCTCTGACTTCTGTTGAAGCAGTTCAAGTATACTGGCAGTTTAATTCCTATTTTTTGTTTCAGAGGATCTGTCTTTGGTATGGATTTATTTTTATTTCTCTTGTTCAAGGCACACTGTGCTGCTTGAATGAATTCATACCTTTCATCAATTGAGCCATTCTGATCCTCTATACCTTAAGCCTTTCTAGGTAATTTTTTCAGACCTATCATCAATTGACCAGATGCTATTTTACCTGTCTATTAAGACTGCTTTCAAAATTTCAGTTACTTTACTTGTCCTTTCTGGACGCTCCACTTAGCATGTAGATTAAGAGCACTGACTCTGGAGCCTGACTACTTGGGTTTAAATCTTAGCAGCTTTGGCACTCCCTACCTGTGTGACCTTGGAAAGTTATTCAGGCCATGCCTCAGTTCCACCGTCTATAAAATAAGGATAATAGTAGTACCTACATCATAAGGTTGTTATGCAGGTTAAATGAGTTATAATAGGTAACAGTGTCCTGGCACAGTCTAATGCTATACTCTTACTGGGTAATAAGCACTTGAAAAGATGCTCGCCATTAGCTGTTAGGGAAATGCAAATCAAAACCACGTCACACCTGCTAAGATGGCTAGAAGCAAAAAGTTGGAAAATTAGTGTTGGCAATGATGTGCAAAAATTGGAACCTTCTTTTGTTGCTGGTGTGGCTGCTGGTGAACAGTTACCATGTGTCCCAGAAATTCTACTCCTAAGTATACACCCAAAAGGAAAATACAAAAAGTTGTACAAGTACAGCCCCATTATTGATAGCCAAAAAGTGGAAACCACCCAAATGTCCACCAGTGGATCAATGGGCAAAACATGGTATAGCCATACAATAGAATGTCATTAGGCCATAAAAAGGAACAAATACGTATACATACTAAAACATGGATGAACCCTGAAAACATGTTAAGCAAAAGAAACCACACGCCAAAGGCTACATGTTATAGGATTTCATTTACATGAAACACCCCAAACAGGAAAATTCAGAGACAAAGTAGATTCGAGGTTGCTGAGGGGGAAGTGTCTGCTAACGGACACAGGGTTTCTTTGTGAAATGATGCACAACTATGAAACACACCAAGAACCACTGAATCTTACACTCAAAATGGTGAATTTTAGGGTATTTGAAGCATATCTCTTTAAAAAAAAAAAATAGCAAAAGGCAGTCACAGGTTAACATCTACAGAAAGAACTGATGGGGAAAAAAAGTTGAAGTCAGAACCTCAGATGGTCTCAGAGCCAGAAGTCAGGCCTGTAAGAAGGCTCTGGTTTCTGTAAGGAGACAAAATGAAACAGATTTGAGTATTACAGTGGAGCAACCCAGACAGTCTGGAGACTGTAACCAGCTACTCCTGGAAAATGAAAAGCCACGGCCAGGGCTCTCCCTCTGGAGAGATCCTGCTGTGAATCTAATGAGGTGGCAGCTGGCAAAGCACATGTGGTTTGCAGGACAGTTCGTATTCTGGCCCCAGCATTGTGTGTGGTGTTACAGCTGAGACAAGAGTTTCACAGGCATGTTTGACAAAAAAGAAAACCTAAATAGAAACTGATGGATACTTTTATATGATTAAATACACACACACACACACACACACACACACACACACACACACACACACACACACACTTTGGCCCAAAAACCAGGGAACGCACAAAAGGTGTTCACTGTCTCCAAATTGTTCTAGAAATTTTTGCCAACAAAATTAGGACTGTTCTACTCCAAAAAAGGCAGTTTAAAGGCTAAGCACTTTTTTAAAGGGAAAAACCCTTTTATAATATAATATGTAATATGTATCTGGAAAGCCCAAAGAATAAAAAAACTGCAAATAATATTTAGTAAAGTAGTTAAGTTAAAGCAGAGAGGAATCAGTAGTCTTTGTGTGTAAACAAAAGCACTTAAAAATATAATGAAGACAATTTACAAAAACTAGAATAAAACCCTAAACTTATGTAAATCTTCCAAGCCTACATGAAAACTAAAACATCCCTATTGAAGAATGGAAAGCACAGCATGCTCTCATTGTCACCAAGATGTTGGTTTCTCCAGTTGCTTCACTCAACACAATCCTGATAACACTATTTTTTCCTAGAGATATAAAAGGTGACTCATTCAAATGGGACCTAGTAAACGAGAATAGCAAAAATAACCTAGAAAAGAATGAAGAAGGTTGCTAGCCCTACTAGATGTTAGAACATTATAAAGAAAGCCCTCGTAAATGAAAGTGTAGTACCAGCACATGAATAGAACGGAAAAGAGTTTTCAAAAGTCCAGAAATTGATCCAACTATACTTGGATATTTAGCGAATGATAAAGATGGCATTTTAAGCCAATGGTAAAAATAAGTGCTATTCTGACAACTAAGCAACCATGTGGAAAAGGCTAAAATTGGATCCATCCCTCATACTGTACATCTTAATTCCAAATGGAGTCAAAGTCTAAACCTAAAAAAAGAAACCCATGCCAGGCTTAGTGCCCATAGTCCCAGCTACTTGGGAGGCTGAGAGGGGAGGAGGCTGAGATGGGAGGAGCCTATCTTGAGCCCAGGAGTTTAAGGGAAATTTTTTTCGTAAGTCCCCAAAGAAAATGTGGTGAATTCCTTGATAGAGTGGGGGAAACTTTCCTAACTAGGACTCAAGAGAAAACTGGATATATGTCCATATATGTGAGTTAAACCCTCCTAAATTAAGGACAACCTAATAGAAAAATGGGTAAAAAATATGCATACTTCACAGGAAAAAGAACAACAAATGACTCAAACATGTGAAAGGTTCTCTGATGTACTATCCCATTGCTTACCTAGAGACTGGAAAAAGCCAAGAGTTTCACAACATTTTGTTGGTGAGGCTGTAGGGGAATAAAGGCATTCTCATAAACATTGGTAGTAGGAAGGAAAAGTGGTGGGATTCCTGTGGAAGGAGTTGGCACTGTCGTGATTTGTACATTTATTCTGATTTAGCAATCCTGCTTGTGAAGTCTCCCCAAAGTACAAGTGACACATGCATAAAACTGTTCATTGCAGCATTATGTGTAAAAGTCAAAAATTGGAAACCCCCTCAGATGTCCACCAATGCATCCACGGAGTACTATGGAAAAAGAAAGAAAACACACCCAGGTGCTAGTGTGTGTATAGTGTTAGCTTTCGTATAGAATGTGTATATACTGTATACATACAGACATTTATTTATGTTTTAAAAAAGAAAAAGATAAAAATGGAAATACATGGTTACTTAGAGGGGAAGGGAGGGAACAAGAGTTGGACAGGGTTAGACTAGACTCCTCTGAATATACCTTTACAGTTTTTACTTTGAAACCATATAAATGTGATTTTCAAACACAGTATTTCCAGTAGACCACCCTAGTGAATTTATCTTGATGACAAATCTTAGATTTCCTTTCAGTCCGTGTTAAATACATTGGCATTATTTCGAAATAATTTTATATATTGTAAAGCAAATAGACTACTGTGTAAATAAAATTAGGAACCAGTATAAAAACAAAAGTAGTAAAGCAAATCTCCAGTTTTTACACGTGTAAAGTCAAGGAATTCTGCAAGAAAATGGTATTTAAAAAAGCCTTGCCGGTCATGCTGTAACCTCAAACTTCTGAGCTCAAACGATCTTCCTACCCAAGTACCTAGGACTACAGGTACACAACACCATGCCTAACTAAGTTTTTTTTTCTATTTTTTTTGTAGAGAAAGAGTCTCACTATGTTGCCCAGGCTGGTCTCAAATTCTTGGCCTCAAGTGATCCTCCTGCCTTAGCCTCACAAAGTGCTGGGATTAGAGGCATGAGCCACCACACCACACCTCATGTATCTTATTTCTTTAGTGCCAACCTTGGAACCTGGCTTTTAATTGGTTCAGTGAAGGAATTCAGTAACTGTGTCAATTAGGGTTAGATTTGGCTGTATCTAATAAGAAAAAAAATAGGCCGGGCACAGTGGCTCAAGCCTATAATCCTAGCATTTTGGGAGGCCGAGACGAGAGGATTGCCTGAGTCCAGGGGTTTGAGACCAGTCTGGGCAATTTGGTGAGACCTCAACTCTACAATAAATTAAAAAAAAAATTAGCTGGACATGGTGGCACATGCCTGTGGTTCCAGCTGCCTGTGGTTCCAGCTACTTGGAAGGCTGAGGCGGAAGGATCGCCTAAGCCCATCAGGTCAAGGCTTCGGTGGCCATGAACATGCCACTACCCTAGCCTGGGTAAAAGAGTGAGACTCCGACTTAGTCAGTCAGTCAGTCAGTCAATAAAACCAACAGACCAACCAACCTTATCCAGTGGATTTTTTAAAAAATCACAAGTCTTTTATCTGAGTGTGGTGGCGTGAGCCTGTTGTCCTAGCTACAGGAGATTGAGGCTATGTGAGTTATAATTGCGCCACTGCACTCCAGCTTGGGTGAAAGAGACCCTGTCTCAAAAAAAATAATAATAATGATAGATCATAAATCTTTAGTGGAACATATTCTGTCATTTCCGGGTATCTGTTTCCTGACTTTTCAAGGTGGTGGCAAGTTTTGCAGCGTTAGAATAACTTTTCCTCATCTTTAGCCACATTAATATACACACATAGCTAACAGATACGATGGGCAGTTTATTTTCACTACCACTTAATTGTTTCTTCTCTTCCACCATGTCTGATTTTTTGACAGGGGCCTGGTCTCAGTTATAGTGTTCAAAAAGAGCTTACAATGTTACTATTCTAGATACTTTATGCTTTATGCAGCACTATCCCATTCCTAATGCATTTCAAGTGGTAGGATTTCAGGTGTTGTGGCAGGAATACTTTGGAGGTGGTGGCACAAGCAAGACAAGAAAACCACTTCCATCACAATAAAGGCCTTGGCAATGGAGTTTTTATGCTCAATTCATTTTAGTACTGTGACCCTAATTTCCCTCTCCTACATCAAATAATTTGTTTTTGGTTTTTTTTAGATGGCTATTCATATGAAAAGGAAGCAATGGAAAACTGGATCAGCAAGAATAGACGTACAAGTCCCATGACAAATCTTATTCTTCCTTCAGTGATACTTACACCAAACAGGACTCTGAAAATGGCCATCGATCGATGGCTTGAGACAAATCAAAACTAAAACTGTTTGTATTTTATTGTTTAGTTTTTACCTTTAAATCATTCAAATGAGATCACTGAAAAATATAATCAGACATTATTAAAAGCAAAACAGAAGAAAGGTAAACTCCTTAAATCTAGTTCTATATAAAAACTGTCAGCTTTCATTCTTTAAAACATGGGGACTAAATTAAACCTCTAACCTCATTTTTATTTTTACTAAAAAAGCATTTTGTACTAGTGAAAAAAACCTGAAGCTGTATAGAAATAAAATCTTACCATGACTTTAAATTGCAGTGCCCAAATTTATTGTTAGCTATAGGTAGTATCTCATTATAACTAAAGATCAGAATACTCCAGAATAACAGATGTTTAAATCCAACTTAATTAGCCATTCATTTGGTTACTCTTTGAAGTCCCTTTTAAGAAAATATGTAGCGAAATGGTTTTAGATTGTTTATGACTGAGAAAAAACATTTTAGACATTTTAAATAAGTGGATTCTAAATTTGCAGGATGGTAATGATTATTTCTCCCATTATCCAATTGTAGGTGTACAAGTTAGATGAATTAGGTTATCATAAATAAGTCAAGTTGACTCTGCTGAAATATGACAAACTAGCCTCTTTTCAGAATTTAGAATTCTTAAAGGTCTCACATTTTATTCTAAGCTAGGATGACTACACAAAGACATTTTTACACAATAGTCTGATATTTAATACAGCACCCTGACACGTATTCACTCAGGAAAAAAACCTTAAAAGTCCAGGAATTTTAAGGTTGTGCTGACTTCTTTTTTTTTTTTTTGAGTTGGAGTCTTACTCTGTCACCCAGACTGGAGTACAGTGGCTGCTCCCGGCCACCGCTGCCTCGACCTGCTGGGCTCCGGCGATCCTTCCGCCTCAGCCTTCCGAGTATGGAATTACCGATCCTTCCGCCTCCGCCTTCTGAGTAGCCGGAATTACAGGCACGTGCTACTACACTTGGCTGATGTTTTGATTTATTGTAGAGATGAGGTCTCACTGCCCAGGCGGGTCTTGAACCCGTGGGCTCAGGCAATCCACTCACCTCAGCCTCCCAAGGCGCGGGATTACAGGCTGAGCCACCGAGCCCGGCTTGTGCTGACTTCTTACTTGCCTGTCACAAGTTGTTACCAGAATGGAAGCCATCAGTGGGCAGCACATTAGAACTAAACTGCAAGGACAGATAGGGACCAAGACTGTGCCTTCACCACCTATGCACTGTTACCCCCAGAACTCTCGCTGTAGAATCGCTCAAGAATTTTAAAACTTGGAAATAACAGAGGAAAAGCAATACACATATATTAGTCTTTTCCTGTGTTTTATAAACTTACAGATACGTGGCAAGCCTAGTTACCACAGAAATCTCCAAATATCTTTTCTTTATAACTGTTGCTTTGTAAATAACTTAAATAAGCTTCAATAATACATTATGTCAGAGCTAGAATTCATACTGATTCTAGAAGAGTTATTTTTTTTCATATGATTCTCACATTCTTATCACTACTGAGGACAAAAACAATGGAAACTGTTGTAGTCTATAAAGAAAGTATGCTAGCAATTCTAACAGAAGACTTTTTTTAATTTAAAAGAGCCCACCATTGGACCAACTGTCTGTTTTTGAATAAAGTAATAATAGACTTATTTACCAAAGGAGGTTGGCTGGCTTTTAAATAAAAACTACTAAAAACCATTGAAAGTCATTGCTAGAAAACAATTAAAAAGTGGTTATTTTTAGGTGTGTTAAAGGTATTTTGCTTTTCTGTTTCCCCAGGATGGTTTTGCAAAAACAAAATTACTGAAAACACAGATGCCAATAATTTGACAAACTGAGGCACTCCTGGTTTTGTATAAAACAAAAATACCAAACCAAAGCCAAACAACTCCCTCTTTCTCACAAGCAAACCATTAATAGGAAGGGACCCAGCCTCTCTGCTGGGTTCTCCCAACCCGATATTAGTTCAGGACCATATGGAAGCAGTGACACCTGCCCTCCCAGTCCTATTGGAACCAACCAGTGGTTTCCCAAGGATACTTAACCTCCTCCTGGGGCAACTGGACCAGGTACCTTTTCTAAGAATATATCAAAGTCATAATTTAGTGTATATTAAAATATGTGAATACTCTCACTGGCTGCTGCTTTACAGAGAAAGTCACCCAATGACAGGAATGACATATTAGCCAATAAGACTCTCCTATCCACCCTCTTTTATTTTGGTTTTTAACCTTTCATGAAATAGTTTTAAAGGAAGACTGAAAATACTTTATTTTGCTTTGCTAGCAATAGCAATGACCAGAAAATAATCTGAAAAAAAGATTCCAGTAAGAATTTTATCACAACACAGAATGTTCACTCTCATTCATATTATTTTGAAACAGATATGTGTCCATAAAGATAAACACACTTTTAACTGAAAATAATACAAGTGTGTTAAAGAACAAACTGTCGTAACAGTGTTTGGTGCATTGCCAAAATGTTTGAGAATTGCAATATTAAAGATACCCTCTTTCCAGTAAACAGAGACACCAAGATTTCCTGAAGCAGGTGAGAAATTAAAGTATATATTGCTTTTCTTCATGCTTTCTTCCTACTACAGGCAAAAAGACTAATTTGGCCCTTGAATATTAGAGAATTTCTATAAGCTGTCATCCTTATTCTGAAATTATTATAAAATGAAATTAAATATGCATTTGGTAGTGTTAACATAAAATGCTTTTCACTATTTTCTTTAGGGTAACAAGGATTAAAGCAAGGCAAAAATAGTTGTCATCAGACAGTCTCTACTTACCCACTGACTCATTTCATGCATAACAAATTCTATTAATAATCTTTATTCCATATGGAAAAGTACAGTAGTTGTGCAGAAACAAAACTACATAACAAAAGAGTAAGACTTTCACAAATATTAAAGAAAACAATAAATAAGCCATAGTAGTTATAGCAGAACTCATGGAAAGCCTAGAAATAAGATAAAGCTGTTTGTACAAAGTACTCTATACACACACTCAGGAACAAATGCTGGAGAATGACACCAGGGGTTCCTATTCATACAAATGATGTTCACAGGAGCTTTATGACAGCTACTCATTTTTAAAACATTCTGCAAATATAGAACTTCCTTCTTCCCAATGCTAGAAAATAAATTTCACATCCCAACATATAAAACAAATACACTCCCACCGCTCTCAAATAAGCATTTTAACATCCTCCAATAACACACTGTTTTCATATAAAAATACCTTTAAACCAAGGTTCATTCCTGTACCTTAATTTTACGAATGAATAATACATCAGTTTGGACTTAAGTAGCACCTCAAAGGTGTTCATATAAATGAGATAAAGTGCCATTACTGGTATACTGTTAACATGCCATAATAATATATCATTCAGTGCAATAAGCAACATGGATGAAGCTTACAAAAACATGCAAATATATGACGGGCTTTCTTCTTTCTTTTTAGATTGACTACTTTGAAATAGTTATATTTACAAGTCTGGATAAAACTGGGCTATTTAATATATGCAACAAGTGACTATGGAGTACTGTGTGTACAACAAAATAAAAGCAACAACCAACCATACCTCAAGTATCCAAATTAAATATTGCCCTTATAGGACTTTGGAAGGATTGTTCCAGGAGCGTTATCATTGTTAAAAGCAGTTTGGGAACCAGCTGAGAGCTAATTTATAAGTGCCACTAAGGATACTGATCTTGGTATTTAGCTCAGTTCACTTGACCACCAATCATGATTCCAAAAGGCTTTTACTGTTTCCAAATAGCAAAAACACCTTCAAGCATGAATATAGTTCCAAAAAAGGTGCTATAAAAATATTTTGAATAAGAACCATAACGCAAAAATAATTGTTTAATCCCCTCATAGGAAATGCTGTGAAGGGAATAATACTTGGGTCTTCTCATATTTTGCTTAAAAAAATCAGCTACATTATGTTTAAAGTCACACTTATATTCAGCTAGAAATCACTCAGATCTTAACTTTTTATATATATAATAATTAGGATTTGACTCAATGGAACTGCAACTGGAAAATTCCATCTTTTCCAGAATATATCATTAGAATATTAAGTCATGAGTTAATAGGCCTATCACTTTTTAACAATAGACAGCTTTATTCTCTAAGTAAATACTGTGATTTTACCATATAGCACAGGCTAGGAGAAAAGTGATAAAAGCCAAAATAACTTGGTAAGTGACAAGCATGAGTTAAATTTCTTGACTGTCTTAAATTTTTAACTTGATAGGTATAGCTAATTATAGTTTTCAATTCTGGTTTAGCATTCTTACTTATGGTGACTTCTAGCTATTAAAGAAGTTTTAGCCCACATTTAAAATGTATCAATGACATCATTGATCCGCCCCAGAGGAAAAAAAAGAAAAAATATATGGCTAAAAAGTAATTTTTCTGATGAAAAACCATATGACTGTTTACCACCAGGAGCCAACACACTGTTCCAAATTCTACAGATGGGGCTTCTGAAGGCTCACACGTTGGACTCTATGAACGATCGCTTTGGTTTTGCTGCAGTGAGGTGGCTCCGGTGGGCTTCACTACCGATATGAGGCTGCTGTTTGGAGATACTTTCCTGATACAGATGAGAAACAGTCTTAGTCACCCGGCTCTCTTGACAGTGGACCGGCATTTGGCACTTGCTTTCTTCTAGCTCCTTCACCTGAGCCCCATTGTGGACACTTCCACTTAGAGTAGACACAGAACAGGGTTTGGCTTGGTTATTATATCCTGCTTGTTTGAGAGAGGGCTTCTCAGAGTTTGAGGACTGCAGGCCAGCTGCAGGAGAGGTGTTTGTCAGCAGTCCCTCGGCGGCCGGGCAGTGCCAGGTGCGGCCTGGAGGGTTGCTCTGCTGTTGGAACCTCGCAGTCTTGTCCATGATGCCCATGAACGGAGTGTTACGTGGTCTGTGCTCGGTTGTACCGCTCTGAACCTGGCTTCCCATCTTGTCTTTAATCCGAGCCTCTGGCCCTGGGATCTTGAAGCCATCTGAAAAACTGCTGCTTGAAGTCAAACTACTGGTGGAACTTGACATCTTTATGCTGCTGGATGGAGAACCGGAAGAGCCCGAGCTGGCGAGGGAAGCTGGGTGTCGCACGTCGCTGCAACTCACCGGCCCACCTTGGCTTGGAGGGGCTACATCCACAGCCACGGATGTGTGTGACAGGAGCCTCTCCGCAGTTTTTATCTTGCTTGGTGGTAAGGGGTACACAGCGCCACTCTCGCCGCGCTGCAGGTGGACGTTCTGGCTGGGGCCCAGTCGATCTCCAAGGTGTCCACAACCAGCTCCTATTGTGAAAGTACCTGCTCCCTCTAAATGCTGGTTTCTGCTCCCAGCAGGAGCTGCAGAGATTCTACCTGGCATGGGACTTGGGGGAGGATTCTGAGACGAGATCGGAATTTTTGTGCCACTGTTTCTCATGCCAGACTGTCCAGAGCCCAGATGCTGGTTGGTTTTCACTATCTGTGCCTGCCTGGTAGGCTGCACGAGCAGCCCAGGCTGGGCTACAGGCTCCCTCAGGGCCTTGTTGATTCCTGCCCTGCTCTGTGGTGACACTGGCCTTCCTTTGGACTGCAATCCTTCCTGAAGGTTTCGGATATACGGGGAAGGGACAGATGAGGTCGGTGGGGGCCTGGGAGTCGGGGAAATAGATTCTTCCTGTGGAGAAGTTTCTTCCTCTTCAGCCTCCTCAAGATGAAAGTGGTCATTTAATCCTGGGGTTGGGGCATCCTCTTCGTTGTCTGAGTCGTTGGGTGGAGCTGGTGGCGGACACTGCTGTTTTTGCTGCTGACTTCTCTGGAGTTGCTTGCATTCCTCTTCCACACGGGCAAGAAGCCTCTTGATTTCCTGATTGGTGGGACAGAGCTTCACAGCCTCCTGCAAGTCGGCCAGAGCTGCCACGAATTGCCTTTATAGGAAAACATAAGTTATAATTACACACCATGGGGGAACATGCGCCGAATACAACTCTTCACAAAACAGCTGTGGTCAGAGGAAAGCAAATGTAGCTGAGTGAGTTTTGACACTTACGATGGTGGCCAGGACTCATTCAACTAACCCAGCCACTCAGTTAAGTAGCAGTGCTGAATTCTAGCCCAGATGGGAGTGACTCCATGGCCCGCCTCTCCATAAAGACCACCAGACTGGGAATCAGGGTAGGCATAAATCGGTGGGTGCTAGAATCCTTCTAAGGTTACTGTCACCATCTCCTCAGCATGCCCACCTTGAACTCCAAAGTCTTTTTTTTTTGAGTTGGAATCTGACTCTGTTGCTCAGGCTGGAGCGCAGTGGCATGCTCACGACCACCCCAGCGTCGGCCTGTTGGGCTCTGGCGATCCTTCCGCCTCAGCCTTCCAAGTAGCCGGATCTACAGGCGCATGCTACCACACCTGGCTAATTTTTTTTTTGATATATTGTAGAGATGAAGTCTCACCAAGTTACCCAGCCTCTTCTCCAATCTGTGGGTTCAGGCAATCCTCTCACCTCGGCCTCCCAAAGTGCTGGGATTACAGGCTTGAGCCACCGCACCCGGCCTCCAAAGTCATATAACTCTCCCCCTGCCCCTCCATTCCTCTTAATACCCCTAGAGGGGAGTTTCACTGAAGCGAACTAAGCTAGGAACTTCATATGGCAGAAAGTCTCAACTTAGGGGTAAGAATAAGGAGGGATAGTTGTTGAGATGTCAGAAGAAAAGTTTACCCAATGCTAGTAATATCTATGACCTTGGAAGTGACTCATCTAGTAGTAAAAGGATGAGAGGCGTCTGGGCAACACATCTGAAGCGGAACCTTCCCAAATTCAACTGGCAGGTTTGATCCCACAGGGGGGAAAAAGGCTTCTCCAGTCCCAAAGATAACCCCAGACAGTACCTGCTGTTTCTCTTCGCTCTCGCCCTGGCATAAAAGGCTTCGTAGGACTTGGGCTTCAATTCGAGAGCCTTGGAAGCAAATTCTTCTGCCATGCCAAAGTCCTGGTGTCAACATGTAAATACATGCGTCAAAAGTGGCTCTGACACATGATCACAGGCAACTTTTTCTTGTTTTGCTCTAAAGGGTAGCAATGCATCGAAATATTACTAGAGACGGATGAAGGGCAAATAGGGTTTCCTGTTTATTTTATTTTAAAGCAAGGAGATACTTTCAGCTTGCTAATATTCTTGAGAAGAATCCAGTGGAGAGAGCAGTGGTGGCAACAGTGACCCACAAGGCGAGAGGGGGTGGGACCTCGCCCACCAGCAGAGGTCTCAGCCTGAGAGAAGACTGCAGACACTGCGTCCACTCCAGGAAGAGCAGGAAAGGCATGTGGCACAGAGCAGGTAGATCCAAAGATTGGGGGCAGGAGGAGGAAGTAAAAAAAAAAAAAAAAAAAAAGTAGAAAGTACTACGGAAACAAATCTATTAGTTACAAATTAACCTTGAGTTGCCCACTGCTCTTTACAAATTAGTTACTGGCAGACCCTCTGAACACACCTAACACAGCTAGGCAGGCAGACTATGACAGACATTTGTGTTAGACCTTCCTTCTGATCTGGGGATGGGCAGCTCATGACAGTGTTGGCAGCATTGCTGTTGGGAAGGCATAAGGAGCAGTTTGTGTTTGCTTCTCATCCCGGAGGCAAGGGAAGCTAAACCCAAGGGCTGTCCTGCGACACTGTGAGAGGTGTGCAGGGACAGCATCAAGTGGTCACCCCAGAGGAGCAGCTTTCCATATGTCAGGTTCATATAGGTGTGTACACAGGTCAGCTGGGAGGTCCCAGGATGTGGTCTGTGGAGGGGCTGGCCTTCACACTGTAGGAAGCTCTACTGCTGAAGGACTGGACTGCAGTAAAGGGGGCGTGGCTTACGTTTGTTTTTCTTCGGCATCGAGACAAATTCAGATAGAGGGAGACTCTTAATTCATTGAACGGTCTCATGTCCTCTCCGAGTCCTTCTCGAGGAAACTTCCTTAAGGCGTACTGGTACCTCTGGGCTGCCTCTTTCATCTTCCCTTTCTAAGGTTCAGAATAAACAAAGATTGTCCCTTTTCACAGGCTCTAAGATGAATGACCTCCCACCCCCTGAAGACTCTGGGGGGTTTATTTCCCCCATGCAAAACCATGACAGCATATTGAAAGTATCCAATGAGTACATGTGATGGAGCTCATACATGGACCAGTTGAACACACTCTGGTTTCCCTGTCCTACAGGTATCTGCACCATGTGGTTACACATGGTAGAAAAGATGATGCTTCTACAATAAAGTGCTTGTCGACTGCCAAAGTAATAACTATCAATCAATGCATCAGATTATCATCTCTCCTTTGTATTTTTGAAAATTATTTCAAGAATGACCTGTTATCTAAAGATATTTTAATGCCAGTATAGTAGAAATCAGATGAAAAAATGTTGTCGATCTGAGGACAAGTAGAGTCTTGTGGGTAAACCTAGTGCTTGCTGCAGAATAATCATCTTTCTTTGAAGAGGAACTATAGCATGGGCTTTAAAAATCAGAACAGCACCACACATCATTTTCAAGGTTAAAGAAATCCATTTGCTCAGTCAGTCCTGTTGCACAGCAGGTATGAAGCCTGTTGAAAATGGCTTCATATTTCTGACATAATTGCCCACCAAAATCTATATTAAAAGCACTTCAAAGCCACAACAGTACACACTCTCAATTCAGTCTCAAACTGATCCAATCTGGGAACCCTGCTGGGTCAAACTATATTGCCTATTTATTTGTTACTATTTTTAAAATAAAAAGGGAAAAAACCAACAACATAGCAAGTATAGCTGCCTAATAGTACAAAGGATTAAAATGGTCACATTCTAGGTTTTTTCCTCATAATCTTTTAATTCTGTCTAATCACAGATCTGGAAAGAATAATGACCTGCATATATGGCCGACACATCTATCTAAATCAGGGGTTGGTGAACTACAGCTTGCAAGCAAAATCTGGCCAGTCGCCTGTGTTTACAAATAAAGTTTTATTGGGACACTATTGCTCAGTTGCCGTGTGTCATCTGCAGCTGCTTTTTTTGTTTTTGTTTTTGTTTTGAGTTGGAGTCTCACTCCATTGCCCAGGCTGGAGTGTCGTGGCATGCTCATGATCACCCCAGCATTGACCCGCTAGGCTCCGCGATGCTTCCGCCTCAGCCTTCCAAGTAGCCGGAACTACAGACATGTGCTACCATGCCCAGCTAATTTTCCAATTTATTGTAGAGATGAGGTCTCACCAAGTTGCCCATGCTGGTCTTGAACCTGTGGACTCAGGCAATCTCCTCACCTCAGCCTCCCAAGTACTGGGATTATAGGCTTGAGTCACCGCACCTGGCCAGCGGCTTTTGTACCACACAGCAGAGCTGGAGAGTTGGGACAGTGGCCACACACTCTGCAAAGTCTCAAGTATTTACTTCATGGCCCTTTTAAGCAAAAGTTTTCTGAGCTCTGATCTAAACTGATGTCTTATTTTGAAAAATTTAAAATCAAGTTTATTAATCTCTAAATCATATTTCCATTTCCTAGGGAAAATGGGAAAACATTCAGTCTCCTGAATAACTGAGTATATTACTTGACTGTATTAAGTAAAAATATCTCTCAAAATAGTTTCAAATTCTAGAAGTTTAGAGATATTAAAAATTAGACAGTAAAGGCTTGGGATACTGAATGATTCCTTTCTTCTGGAAATGTCTCCAGAGTGTCCCTTCTCCACATGCCCCGTGACTGTCATAGTGTGGTGCTCTGAACTCAAAGACCATGAAAGGCTCAGAAATCTCCTGCATGACCTGTCAATTGACCTACTGGTGACTCTCCTTCACACCAAGGCATCCAGTGGCAAGTCACAGCTTCAGCCTCAACGATCAGTTCAGAAATAATGGATCTCAGACACAAAGAGAAGCACTTCCCACCTTTAAGATTCCACTGTGCAGATATTAAACAGATCCTGGGCATGGGGCCAGGTCAGCGTCTCTCAGCTCTCCTATTACAAATAAATCACACATATTCTGTGCAGAGGCACAGCTGTGGCCATTATATACCAAACCGAGAGGTTGCTGGGAGTCAGAACAGCACAGAAGAGGGTGGTACCACTTACTTTGTACATCACATTTCCTTCCTCCATTAATTTCTGTAAAAGTATAATCAAGATATCAGGCTTGGAAGTGGCCATCGCCCAAGCAGCATTTCCTGCAAAATAAACATGCATTCAGAGGCACCGCAGAGGTCTGGGAGGAGAGGTGTTTAGTTCTGTGATGCCTCCAAAGCTGGATGCCACCACTGCAGGAGCCCAGCTGCTGGAGCCACTGCTTCTGGGAGTCTCAGACCTCCAGACAATGTGATGAGGGAGAGGACCAGGGCGCTGGCCAGCCGGTTCAGCTTCTTACCTATCTTCCCCTGAACTGGGCACTCAGGAGGGGAGTAGTGCCCAGTACAGGTCTGTCCTTGTTATTTTATTGAACTAAGGCATCAGAGCAGCCATGACCCATCCCTCCCTTCTGAGTGGGATCTGGGGGAAAATCCATTAGACCGGGCCTCAGCATAATTCCCTTCGTTCCCAGCAGCACCCACCTGACGGCATGTTCTCAGTACCCCGGCCCCTGTGCAGGTGCCATCACGAGGTACTCTGGGACAGTGCAGTGCAGGCCCTATGCTCATGCCACACTTGCTTCTCCATCCTGGCCTACACACAGCCACAGCCTTCCCTCCCACCACCTTCTGAGCACAGCAGGAGCACTGAAGAGCATGGGCCCGGGAGTCGAACTGCAGGGTTCACAAGGCCCTGACACTACAACTTTGGGGGAGCTACTCAGCCGCTCTGTGCCTTTTCTCATCTGCAAATGGTGGCGTTATCGCTACCCACTGATGGGGCTGTGGGGAGGATCGAGTCAAAATGTGAACCTGCTCAGGATACTGTCACTGCTCAGTCCTATCAGCTCATGATTTTCATCCTAGTCCCCTGTCCAGAAATGCTCTTGGCCAAGGAACTACACATCAAACCAGAATAGCCACATTCTAGGTCTCTTCCCCCACACACTGGTGTGTCATGTCGCAACCAGTCAGACAGGAGGGGCTCTCCCTACTCAGACCCCCCCCCCACTATCCTCAAGTAACCCCTCATCTTGCCTCCATGAAATCAGACTTCACAGAAACTGTGCTGGGGTGGCCATTTCCCTTCCAGCTGGCCACGACTGCTCCAGAACAGGGCTTTTCAGCCCTGGCTGCTCATTCGAGTTACCTGGTGAGCTGTCCAGCCCATACCCACAATTAGAGTGCAGTCAACCCCCGCCACGGCATAATTCTAGACTGTCCAACACCGGCCTCTGCTTGGAAGACTGAGACACACAGATAGATATATCTCCAAACACCTGACATCCGATTTCCTGACCCGGGAGCAGGTAAGTCTGTATGCTCCCTGGGGCACTTCACAGTCTGAAGTTGCCCTTTTCGTCCCCCCTGCTGAACAAAGGTGGAGTTCACTGACCTAACTTGGCTCCTTTTCTGAGTAGCGTGACCACTACCGATGTGTTTCGACAGCCGATGGCTCTGTCCAAGGGACGCATTCCACTGTGGTCCACATGCTCAATCACGGCTCCCTTCTCTACCAGATACAGCACCTGCAGCAGAGCAGAGAAGCCTGAGGAGCAGCTGGGGCAGGGGTGCTGCCACTCGCCCCTCTCCAGTCACAGATGGGTGTGCACATGTATGCGCTCTATCTCTGTCTCAGCCCGCTTTCCGGCCACAGAGTTGGGACATAATTGCCTTTTCATTTCCAGCTGAATAGGAGGTAGACTTGGGCAGTGAGCGCCAACATGCGGGTAGGCTACTGCAGTGGGTACTGGGGAGATACTCAGACCCACAGCCTGGGTATCGTAAGCAGGCAAGATGGGCAGCTTGGGACCCAGCAGACTTGAAGATAATTCAAGTTAAGGCTTAGGAAAGAGACGTGAAAGACACTGGGAAGGTAAAGATGGCAGGTTTGATGCCATGGTACAAAGACCAATCTGATGTGATAAAACAGCTGTCATCTGAACTAAACAGAAAACAAGAAGAAAAAAATCACTTTGGCTACTCAGAGTTCTCTGTTGACTTGAAAAGAAGCCTGAAGCCATTTTAGACTTTCATGTGGATCTGATATGACATGTTTCCTATCATCCACCAGCTACTCAAAATCACACTAGAGGGGTTAACATCTAGACTAAACAGAGAACTCCTACAGCTCAACAACAAAAAGCCAAATAACCCAGCTTAAAAAAATGGGCAAAGGACTTGGATAGCTATTTCTACAAAAATGAAACACAAGTGGCTAACAAGCATATGAAAGATATTTAATGTCACTAAGCTTTAGGGAAATGCTAATCAACACTACAATGAATATTTCATACCCATTAGGATGGCTACTATTAAAAATAAAAAAAAAAAAGGAAAATCCATGTTGGTGAAGGTGTGGACAAATTGGAATCCCTGTGCAGTGCTGGTGGGAAGGTAAAATGGAACAGCAGCTGTGGAAAAGAGTATGGCAGTTCCTCAAGAAATTAAAAACAATCATCCATATGATATAGAAATTCTATCTCTGGGTTTATACCCCAAAGAAGCAAAAACAGGGTCTCGAAGAGAGCTCTATACACCTATGTTCCTAGGTTTTATCACCTCACACATTGATTGAACTTAGGCATTTGGTAAAGGGATAAAGACAGTGCCCAAAGCTTTTTATATTAATTTTAGGCAATGCCACAACGCTTTAAAAAACAAAATATGCACAATGGACTGCTACGCAGTCTTATAGAAGAGGGAAACCCTATCATGTGCAGCAACATGGGTTAACCTGGAGACATTACACCAAATGAAATAAGCCAGGCATAGAGACACAAATACTGATCTCACTCATACGTGGACTCTAAAAAAGTTGAACTCATAGAAGCAGAGAGTAGAATGGTGGTTACCAGAGGCAGGAGATGGGGGACATGGAGAAAGAGGAGAAGTTGGTCAAAAGGTTCAAAGTTTCAGTCAGACAAGAGGAATACGTCCTGGCACAGCATCGCGACTCCAGTTCATAACAATGTATTTGTACTTCAAAATAGCTAAAGGAGTATCTTAAATGTTCTCACCATAAATAAATGATAAGTATTTGAGTGATGGTGTTATTAATTAGACTGATTCGATCATTTCCACAATGTATACATGTCTTGAAACATCACATTGTGCCCCATAAATATATACAAGTATTTGCCAATTAAGAATAAAACGCAGAGAAAGAAAAACCAACCAGCTAATCATTTGTTTATTTCTCATAAAAGTGTTTTCTAATTATCTATGCAGGAATTTTATTTAAATGGATTACTAGGAGAAAACCACTTATGCCTTATACATGTCTGCTGTATATACTGTTTGTAAGCAGGTGTTTTTAGGCTTTTAAGAGTCAACTAAAATCTTTACTATAGTCCTGGAATAGACGTGTATCACAGAATTAGAAGAAAATGAAAGCTCCCCCGCCACATACACACACTGACCACATGCAGTTAGACAGAAGAAAGAAGTCTTCTCAAGAAGACTCTGGAGCTGTCCAGTCTCTGGGGTTTCTTTCTGACGGAGGCAGAGGGAAGAGACACCTATGGGCACTCACAGTCTCAGCATCGCCGTAGAAGGCGGCCAGGTCCAAGGGAGTACGGCCGTTCTTGTCCATCTGGTCTATCTCGGCTCCTTCTTCAACCAGGTACTGGACCACTGCCCTGTGGCCTTTCAGACAAGCCCAGCTTAATGCTGACAGGCCCTCTTTGTCCAGAGCAGAAAGTGCAGCACCTGAAAGAAAAGCCCATTCACAGAACATGAACCTCATAAGACCACCAAGCCTGGAAGCAAGCCGTTTCCCAACTGTGAACACACCTGGCCTGAACCGCTATCAGTCAAACCCTACAGAGTTGAAGACCCAGACAGAATGGCTTTCATTGCTGAAGGTGACTGCTGGGCCTGTGGGCTGCACTACATTAGAGAATTTCCATAACCAAAGACTTAAACTCTGAATCAGAAAGGACTTCGTGGGTCTGCCTAAGCTCTGTCAGTCCATCCAAAGGAGCCTATGCAGGTGGGTGACAAGCCGCTACCTTGTGAAAGGAGGAATTCCACGGTGCTCAGGTGGCCTTCACAAGCAGCCACCATGAGGGGCGTCCGACCCTGCTTGTCACTTAGGTTCACGTCACAGCCGCGATCCAACAGCAGTCGAACAATCTGAAAGAGACTCTCAGATTAGTCTTCTGCTGCATTTTTTTTCTGTCTCTCTCTCTTTTTTTTTTAAATTGGAGTCTCACTCCATCGCCCAGGCTGCACACTCACAGCCACCTCAGCGTTGATCCACTGGGCTCGGGCGATCCTCCTGCCTCAGCCTTCCAAGCAGCCAGAACTACAGGCGCATGCTACCACGCCCAGTTAATTTTTGATTTATTGTGAGAGACCCAAGAGATTAAAAAAAAACTCTAAGAGAACTATTACTATATGAATTCCTACCCCACGTTCACTGTATTTGTTTGCAGTGTTTGTACTTAGAATTTTGTTAAGTTTAATTTTTGTTTGTCTCATAAAATAACCGATTGCTTCCGCAACTGCTGCTAGCAGTATGTGAATGTCAAGTAATAAACCCCTCCCGGACATTCCTTTGCTTAGCCTGTCTGCTGACATTCCACTCTGCTCATTTAGCAGCTCCCCAGTCAATCACAGGTAGCTGAGCGGACCAGACCAATCCCAAGTGCCCCTGTACCCATTAGGAGAAATTACCCTATCATGTAAAAACAAGTTTAAAGTTCTTTCCCCTCCCTCTGTAATGATGTATAAAAACTGCTTGCCATGCTGGATCGGGGCTCTCGTCCCTGAAGCTGCTGCTTCGGGCGTGAGCCCAGACTTGAGCCTGAATAAAGACCCTTGTGTGTTTGCATCGAGCTGGCTCTTTGTGGTCTCTATCTCTCTCATTAGGGTCCCGGGTTCAACAATTGTAGAGAAGAAGTCTCGCCAAGTTGCCCGGGCTGGTCTCGACCTGCAGGCTCAGGCAATCCACTCACCTCAGCCTCCTAAGGTACTGGGATTACAGGCTGAGCTACCGAGCCTGGCCCCTGTTGCATTTTCAACCACATTCTCTATGCCCGGACAGGGTTCTCTACCTTCACACATATTCAGATGATGCTCTTCTTGTGAGAGTCCCTCTAAGCTGTGGGAACCATGAAGCCTTTGAACAGGATCTTTTTCCAACACATACTCATTTTTACCATGCCCAATTTGTGACTATCAGCAAAACATACACATACCAGACAGCAACAGTACTCTGGGCAAGGAGGGACGCCAATCACAGTTGAGTAGGAACAAGACAGCCACACAGGGAGGTGGAATACTGATGCAAAACTCAGGAGGCAAACAAGGGGTAGTGTGTGCTGAGGCTCGCAAAGCACCTGCAGTCAGTCCAGGGCAGGCAGGGGCGTAGAAAGCAGCTCACTCATCACACCCCAAGCCACATGCTTGCCTAATACGCAGGGCCGGTGAATGGCTTGCCCTTCAAAGAGGGCAGTTTTCAGCAGAGCTTCTGGAAGGAGATGCTCAGCCTCAGGAACTGTGCATGGTAGTAAGAAAGGGAGGAAAAAAACAGAAAACCAGAAAGGGGTCACCTATGACCCTCACCCCCATGGAACTGCTTCATCCATGGATAAGTTGAGTCTCGCCCTGGTACAGTATCTATTATGTTGCCACAAAAGGAGGTGGCACTTCCATGGCCTTCTTGCTCTTTCTGTACTACCAAATGCTTTCCACACTTGCCTTGACCTAGGAAACACTGGGACCAGGAGACAGGATTAGCCAGGGCATCAGGTCGAAGTGGCAAGGGTGACAGGAAACATTTGGTAGAAACCAAGTTCTCAGAAATGAAAAGGAGAGACCGGGCACAGTGCCTCATGCCTGCAATCCCAGCATTTTGGGAGGCCGAGGCAGGAGGATTACTTGAGCCCAGGAGTTTGAGACCAGCCTAGACAACATAAGGCAACCTCGTCTCCAGAAAAAAATCAAAAAATTAACCAGGTGTGGTGGCACATACTTGTATAGCCCCAGCTACTCGAGAGGCTGAGGTGGAAGGATCACCTGAGCCCAGGTAGTCGAGGCTGTGGTGAGCTGTGATCACACTGCTACACTTCAGCAGCTTGGGTGACAGAGTGAGACTCTAACTCAAAAAAATAAAAAAATAAAAAACGAAAAGGAGCAAAGCCGAAGTCCTCGTGGAAAGCCTTCGCACTCCTACCAATGAACTGTGGGACTCGGCAGAGATGTGATTCTATGAGTCAAACTTTGGTCTAGAAAATTCTTTTTAATGGCCCCGATAAGATCCTTTGTGTCTGCAGCTTACGTGTTACCTGGGGCTAGGCATGGGGCAGGGACTTGGTCACTGTTTACAAAGTGAAGGAATAAATGGCTGAACCACGAGTCGAGGCTTCCCGTTCCCTTGAGCTAAAGACAACAGTGAACTCCATCCCAATCTGCTGCTTCTGAAGAATTTGGGGCCCACCAGGTACCTGCCAATGCCCCTGGCGTGCCGCACAGAACAACGGCAGGACTCCTCTCCTGTTCATCCGCGACACGGTAGCACCTCGCCCCAGCAGCAGTTCACAGACCTCCAGTTTCCCTCTTCCGGCGGCAGCGGTCAGGGCTAGAGGACAGTCAGCGGAGGGGAGGCTGTTAGCATGTGAAGGATGAAAGGAGGTCATGGTTCTTGGACACTCCTCCCTTCCACTGGAAAGTGGGGGTCTACGCATCCTTCCCCCTGAATCTGGGTGGGCTCTGTGACAGCTCTGACCAACAGAATACAGCAGGAACAATTATGCGCCATGGTCTGGGCCCAGGTCCTGAGGGCGGTCCACTTGCGCTTCCTTGGAACACTCCTCCTTGCAACCCCGAAGCCACGGGGTGAGAAAGCCCACGCAGCCTTGTGGCAAGACCCACAGGAGGGAGGCCTGGGTGTGGCTGGCAGTCCCAGATGAGTCCCTGCAGCTAGCCAACCCACCATATGCTTGGGCAATCCTGGAAACGGGGTCCCCAGCCAGAGTCAGCAACCCCAGCTACAGTCTGGTAGGCAGAGGCCAGCCGTCCTACCATGCCCAGCCCAAACGAGACTCAGAAGTCAGTTTTGGTTTTGTTTTTCACAGCAAGAGATAACCAGAATATAGTGCAATGCAAAGACGGATTAGTATCATTGTACAGTCTGGCCTCTTACCCTTGAGTCATCACATTTCACTCAAGGAGAATAGTTACTGAGAGTCAAGAGTGTATCACATCACTCCCGCCTTTATGGAGCTGAGAATTTTTTTTTCCCCCTGAATAGAGATGAGGTCTTGTTACATTGCCCAGGCTGGTCTCAAACTCCTGGGCTCAAGCAATCCTCCCGCCCCAGCCTCTCAAAGTGCTAGGATTATAGGTGTGAGCCACCACACCTAGCCAAGAATCTTTAAATAAGATTTAGGGTGAAAAAACCAAGAAAGAAAAAGAGAGGATCTAGTTGCAGAGGGCCTGAGTGCTCAGGTACACAAGTCAACGTGACCTGGGAAGCAGTGACCTGCCCCTGTCATGGCAGTGCCACATACAGGTCAGCTAAGGTTGAGACAAAAATGACAGGAAGGGAAAAATCAACCAGTCAGGGTCTCCCAATACCCTCACCTCAGTGACTGGGCCTCCCCCCCATCCCCGGGGGAGGGTAACAGTCAAAAGCAGGGGTAGAAGAGGTGCTGCCACGTCACGTGAATCACTGTCTACAGGGAAGGACAGTAGTAAGTGGCAGGGACGATTTTTGGCCAGCATGACAAGCTGCTCAGTGGGATAAGAGGACAGGAAGGGGGTGGATGCTCCTTGGGAGGGAGTATGTACGACACTGAGGAGAAGGAAGGAGATGGTCACATGCCATGTCATGGCTTGATTCCTGGTGCCTGCCTAGGGCAACTTTGTTTTTAAGCACAGCCTTGAACCTACAGCTTCCCAGCTTCCAGAAGACAGAAGTGTTCTCACAAGTCTGTTAGACAGGCAGGCAGACCCCTCAATGAAAATGGGGGGCACAGAACTAGGCCCTTCCAACGGTGAAGGCCGAATGCCAGTGAATTTACAAAATGCACCCAGCCACCAGAGATCCAGATGAGTGGGAAACGGATGCAGAACAATGGCAGCACTCACACCTGCCATGGGGGTGAAGACAGCGGCCACACTGGCAAATCGGCTAACACGTGTGTCCCTCTATCAGGCAACTCCACCTGCAGACACACCCTGCCAGCGCTCTCAGGGTGCACCAGAAATGCATGTGACAGTGCTCACAGCGGCGCTGGTCCCAGCAGCCTCAGGCAGCAGGCAGTGCAGATGGCCACCAGTGGTAGACACACGGAGAAACTGAGGTATGGTCAAACGATGGAATGCTACATGGTAATGAAAATGAACGTCATGCAGCTAAATGCAACAGACTGGGTTAGTCTCACAAACTTATCATCGACTCAAAGATACAAAACATAGAAGAATATGTGCAAGGTGACCGGTCATACATAGTTCAAAACCAGAGTCCTGTAATAGCAGGAGAGGGTCACCTGTGGACCTCCTTAGAAAGGTGAGACCCAACTCAGACTCTGTGCTCCTCAGCACAGCCCATGGCCTGATGGCTAAGGCCATGGAGCCACAGGCTCAGGAATGCTGGCTTCCACATGCACATCGAGGTCTGTCTGTCCTCTTTGACACCCGCCTTTTGGACAGGTGGCAGATGTCTGCTCCTCTGGAACCCACAATAAAACCTGGGAAGCTGAGGGTCCATTCTTGAGCTGTGACCTCCTCTGGCAGCACCTACTCCAGTCAGGATGGCCATAGTTTAACCCCCAGGAGCCACACAACCAAAAGGAGGCAAACTTGATACCTGGGCCTGATCAGAAGCTGAACAAACAGTTCTCCCAAGGCACAACGTCTCTATGGACTGTCCTCAGGGTCACAGTGCAGTGTGGTCAGCGACTTCACCTCTTCGTGTGTCACTGGGAGCTGTCCACATTTGCCCGATGGGTCATCTGAGCTCCACTACCAACCGTTCAGGGGGTCTTCTCCACCAGAAGGTGACGAGGTGGTGGCAGGGCTCAGAGGAGGGAGTGTGACAGACTGTGCTGTTCTTGGGGAACCCAAGAAAGTCAAGGTCAGGCCCAGGACGATGGTGTGGAAAGCACTCCCTCTCCATCCTTCTAGAAGAGTAAGTCAGCTCTCGCTTCACTTCTGTTCCTCAGTCAGTGTGGACCTCAGCTGTGGGGGGACTGTCCCTTCTTCAATAACCTCATCACAGAATGACCCCTAAAAAGGTTTACATGGTAACTCAGGGAGAACAGGAGTGTCTGTTGGCCTGGCCGATTCTGATGTCTCACTCTCTATCACTCATGACCTGGATCATGGCCTCTTTCTTTTCAGGAAGAAGGTTACCACGTTTCTCCAGAAAAATACGTTTAAAGGGATCTGGATCTGTCCTGATGAATTCAAGACTCTTGATCTAAGTTTCCCAGCAGACAGCACTAAAAGTGCAGGGTGACCAGAAGAGGTCACAGACCAGCAACTGACTCCCAGCTTCCCAGTCTTAAAGTGGGTATCAGAGAGAGCAGGCGTTTGCCAGCTGTCAAGATGCTCCAAAGTGACACTACTTTTCCATGAGGCACAGCAAATTCTCATGGCAGGTTCTGCTCAGTTCCCTGGGACAGAACAGTACTTGTTCTATTAGTTGACATGGTCCTTTGCAGCTCTCCAAGGAGATAACTGATAAACCCAGCCACGGTCCTCATGAGAAGTCAGAGCTGGCACCAAGGTATGTGTTCAGTGGGTCATCCTGGCAGAGAGCACAGAGGGCCTATGCACATGGCTCTCAGAACATAAGTGAGTCCTCAGCTCCAGAATCCAGGGTCAAGTACATAACACAAGACAAAAGACCTAAAAACATGGTTCAGACCCAGTCACTGTGTGTGACCTTGGCACACACCTTGGCATATCCTCATGGTTTCTGGCCTTCAGTTTCCTCATTTGTAAAGCTAAGGAGTTGAGCTGGATCAGATTTACGAAGAGTCTAAAGGTTCAGCAAATATTTAATTCTATTTTCATTATTTAAACATAACTTAGCCATTTAAAAATTTTTTTTTTTTGAGTTGAAGTCTCACTCTGTCACCCAGACTGGAGTGCAGTGGCCGCTCCCG